TATATATATATATATAATCACACACTGGAGTGGAACTGATCCAGCCTTAATGTCATTAGTAACACCTGTGCTGTTCCTACTGTAGCTCAACCGCTATGAGTGAGCCGTTAGCAGCTGAAGGGAAACCCTTTATAATAACTCTCCTGTTGTTTTTAGGCAATCTGAAGACACGGCTCTGCTTTTTCTCAAAGAGATCTACAAGACCATCGGGATCCATCCAGAACAGATGGCGCACTAATACCATGAAGAGAAGCCCGTCTGAGACTTTGCTGTTCGGTTTATTTCACGTCAGTTTACTTAGATTTTAACTTTTCTATTTTCTTTCTTTTATTTTCTATTCATGTAGTTTATTGTCTACAGATGAATAATACAATTGTATTATGCCATTTGTCTTAAATTAAGAAGCATTACAAATGAGCTTGTAGATTTAAAGACGCGGGCATGTTTGATATTACATTTTGTAGTTTAAATTATAGAACTGATCAAGTGTACTCGATGTGTATCATCAAAGCAAATGCAAACAGCAGAAATGACTCATCAGCAGTTAATGCAGCCTTCTGTACGTTTTATTTAATGGCCAACATTTTCAAAATAAATCATTTCCTTGCACATGTTCTTTGTTCGAATGGTTGTGTAGTGCTGAGAGGAAGACGTGTAACATTCCTCCTGCAGGGGCGAGGAAAACATATTGACAAAAAGCTGTAATATTAGCAAAACATGAATTAAAAAGAATACAGGATGAGATGAATAAGCTTTCATTGTGAGGAGAATAAAGCACTTCCTGCCTGCTCTATGTCAGGTTTTGACAGCTGTTGTCATTAACATCACGCCTCTCTAACCTCATGAGATGGAATAACATTTCATGTCATTTCAAGCAGGTAGTCATGTACAACTCACAAGAACAAAAAAATATTAGAAAAGTATTTACAAGAGTACCTGTAACATTCAAACTCAGTCCAGTATTAGGAATGATAGCGTTGTGAGGACGAGTGTTAGTTATTTAGACGGTCATACTGGTCCACACAGACCTGATATCATAGCGCTGCATGCTATAAGCTCATCTTTGCTCCTGGCTCTTTAGTAAATCATGCTTCTCTGTTAAACCGGTCACTTAGAAGCCGTCTTCAGCAAAGGAAGATCGAGTGACTCATAAAACGCACAAAATAAGTTCCCTTTTTTTAAACAAATCGCCAGTCTGAAACAACCTATAAATATAATATTAACAGATCGACTCCATACACAACCGCCAGTAACTGGAGTGGCAAAGACTGTAATTTGCTTTGATGCTCAACTTGTAGAAATGTTCTGCTTGTGGGGTCAACTTGTGTTTTCTAACCTCCATTTTAACAAAGTGCAACTTCGTCTTTTTCCTTTTGGCAACCGTAAATAAATAGTTGTAAAGTTGGACTTCTTACCCTTTTGTAACTGCATTCTTTCTTCCACTCTACACATCAGCAGCTGGTAGTTTTTGATCTTGTTTGATATTATTTTTTAGGGGGGGGGGGCTGAAATCTACTGGCTGAGGTGACATTCAGCAGAAGGTGATAACGGTGAAGAGACTGGTTGAAAATCAGGTGCCGTGTTTGAAGCAGGTAGGATGGCTTAGCGAGAAGTTGTGTTTCCCCAAGATCATAACGGCATAAAATACAACGGCAACCTAATATATTACATATTAGTTCTCATCCAGCAAGTTCAACATTAGCCAGCCGATTGTGTACCTGTGTGTGATAACGCTGTTTTACCGCGTTGTTAGCTTTCACATTGATTCACGTCTGTCTTTGTACATTCATTTGTCTACAGCTGTGCGGTGAAATGCAGAAGGATCCATGTAAACAGGCCTTTGCTGTAGTGCGATTAGTATTGTCTCACAGTCTTAATGCTGGAATGGTGATGGGAATGGAGAGGCTTTGTTCAGTCCTCTGTTTTGGTCTGGGTCTTGAAGGCCTGCTTGCGGAGGTGAGCCTCGATCTCGTCCCGGAAGACCAGCATGCCCAGGTGCGAGTGGGAGGCCTCGTTCATGGCTTTGGACTGGATGCACATGCGGTACTGCTCCGGCGTCAGCTCGTCGGCGCACTGCTTCTCGTGCCACAGGTGGAAAAGACCGGAAACGGGCGTCCGAATCACTATCACGTCGCTCCGGAGATACTTCCTGTACAAGTGGACGTCTTCCACACCCCAGCCTTTGACTTCCAGGTCGAACCCACCTGGAGGAGTAAAAGTTGAAGTCAGCATTATCAGTTGTTTATGAGTTAACTTAGCTCATTATTAATTGCATCATTTCTTACCAATATTTAGGAAATCGGAGCGATACTGACACGTCATTCCGAAGCCAAAATCTCTCCAGAATCCAGCATCTTTTTTGTGAATCTATATGAAAGGAGACAATAAACGAGGGAACACCGCGTATCCGGTTGAACTGAAATTCATTTGATGTCACTACTTTAGTTAAGTCCTTTTCCACTTGCTTATTGTTTACTTCATTCAGATGTTTGAGCTTCACTGTGCAGAGTTCGACACTAGAGGCTGTTTTCACATTCCTCTGTGATCGCCTAAAATCGGAGTTTGAAACGTTGACGTACATTTTATGACATTACAACTAGTTTGGAAGCCAATCACAATCCAGTACGCAATGTACACCAAGTGTGATGTGGAAAATCAAACCTCCAGAAATATGCAAACTGATAGATACCTCGAGTTTTAAATGTGGGAAAATAAGTATTTGTAGTAGTAAGAGTGTTAAACACGGTAGCTGGAATGTCAGATGCAAATCACCATTCCAAGCAGGCAGAATGTCTTAAGCCACGTGTGATGGGGATCTTTAAAGAACACACATTTAAATCATCTTTGTACAAATACCATGAAGAGAGAAACGTGACGTTCTTACCAGCTGGAGTTCAGTCGGTGGAGCCAGCTCCAGATTCCCGTAGACTATTGCAGGATTGTACAGACTGAACACCACTGGATAGAAGACTTTCTTATCTACAAACAGTTGAGAACAATTTAGTAAAAGTCGACCTGTAAACAAAAGGACTATTCAAACAATGAATATAAACAATAATGTGTTTAAAATCCTACTTGGAGCGGCGTGGAGACGACAGGTGCTCAGGAACTCAAGTGTGAAATGGATGTCAACATCACAAAAAAACATTAAGACGTCGCCTTTCTTCCAGGCGTGGGCTCCGACGTCCAGACCGCGGCCTCGGGAGAACTCCTCGTCCACTGGGATCAGAGTGTAGTTGGAGAAGCTCTCCTCCCTGAAAACAACACACAACACGTTACTAACACAAGAGTACCGCAAACATTTGAAAAGCTCTTTCCCAGCGAGAGGACAAACCTTGACATTTTTTCCAAAGACGACTTCACCTCCGGCAGACCTTCCGGCCCAAAATAAACCACCGTGAGATGTACTCGTCTGTCCTGCTGTATGCACACCTCCCTAAAAAACACACGTGCATTTTTCAAATGAATCACAAGAACACGAAGGTTGCAGAACAATGGTTAAATCCAGGTAAATGGCTCTCCTGAACACGCATTCGAAGAGGACATGCTGGGTCATGTCAACAGTTTCTGGTTCATTCTCACCTGAAGTTGTGTAAGAACTGTGAGAACGTTTCTACTCTGCCTGCCAGCGGCACAATGATGTTGATAATCATTCCTGATGTTTCTACGGCTGTGCTCCTGACTTTCATTAAGGGACCAAAAGGCCTGAAGAGCGTGACATGGCGGAAGCTGCTGGATTCCTCTTTGGCAAAGAAGAGCTCGTAAAGAGTCCCTTTGTCTCGCTCTGTCCTGTACAGTCCTGTGAAATATGAAAAAATAATGTCTCTCTGAGAAAACACACCGGTTACAGTGATCACTTATTCGTCCGTAGCCAGGCAGTGTGGACCTTACCTTCAGTAAAGTGACCCTCTGTGTAGGTTTGTCTCTGCATCGGCATGTCTTCCTCGACACCGTCCTCCTCATCGGGGTTGTTGATGATGTCCAGCGCCGCCTCCATGACCTCCACCAGCTCGTCCCTGCGGTCTTTGCGCACAGGTTTCTCCTCCGGGTGCCGCGTCAGCCCCATCTCCAGCTGGTACACCTTGGACGTAGTGAAACTCTCAAAGGGCACCAGGGCGTACTCGCTGGGGAGGCGTGCGCCTGTGTTCACCTCAGCCTTGTCGATCTGAGAATGCAGGTACTCCAGCAGATCTCCCGGCTCTTGGTCTTTCGTCTCGGCCAGGCCCTGCACCCCAGGCGGCTCCTTCCTGTCCTGCAGGAGCTTTAGCTTCTCGCCCATCTCCTGCAGCTCCTGCTTGAGCTGGGCGATCTGGCGCTTGAGACTGGTGGCACGGCTCAGGTGGCGCTCCTCCTGTTCCTGCATCAGGGCCTGGTAGTAGTCCTTCCCGTAGCTCTCCCCTGCTAGGCCGGGCAGGGCCAGGCTGACGTCTGCTGGAGGGGTGCACTCCAGCAGGTACGCGAACAGCAGCAGCACCAGCAGCAGGAAGAGGCCAAGAAAGAGCCAGCGGAACCGGCCCTGAAGCGTCAACCCCCGCCTGGGCATCACGCTAGCATACAAGCTATAGCTGGCAAGTCTGCATTCCCTTTCCCCTCTGATCACATTACTTACAATGTGCGTCTGCACATCATCTCAGAGGTCTGGAAGTGTCATTTTACTGTGAAGGTCTTGTTTCTCGGCTCCAACCTATAACTGTCTTCATACATTTGTCCTGGGTAAAGCCATGCAATGATCACCTAGGTCAACAAATCACAGAAATCAACAATAAGACAACAAATAGTATATATACACCACACAAGGAGGGAGCCATTTGTGAAGACTTTTGGAGAACAAAACACTGTGGATTATTACCAGATAATCAGACAAAAAGATCTAATAATACAACATTGTGTAATTGACCAACCCGCCAGTGAAAATGTCATTCAGGTAATGAATAAAACATGTTTCTGTAGCAACGTGTTCACTTTGTGTCCAACTTTTGTCAAGATTTAACATTCTGAAGATTTAACTTCAACCTGAACAAACGAGAACAGGAAGAAACGAGCTTCACCTGGAAAGCTAACACACGGCGACTAGCTGTGTGAGCTAAACAACAGCACAGAGGGAAACTAGTGGGCGAGCTCCACAGCAAGCTACTCAATATTGACTTACGGTTGAGCGGCTTACTTTCAAAATAACAGCAGAACAGCCATATACAAAATATATAAAACAAGCCCAGTATTGGAAGACGTATTCTTGATTATTGAGTGACTTATATGCCAAAGTGATCTCATACAAGGCCAGCCGATCGGTATCTAGCCTTTAAAACCAGATCTAATCCACCACATACCACCCACAATTGTTTCTTGAAGGTCACACAGTCACACCCTCAGCACAGAAAGTAATGCTGTTTTTTTTATTTACCCTGACATTCATAGTCTTCAGCTGGCCTCAAAAGGTGTAAATCAGGTTTGAGACGGCTATAATGAAAACCAGCAGGGTTCTGAGTCCAATGAGATATTCACAGAGGGGCCATTCTGCTGATAAGGCGAAGTCTCAAGGTTTCAACCAGTCAGAAAAGAGGAAACAATAACAAAACTGTACACTGAGAGCTGCTTGTTGGGTATTTTTAAACACAGAATCTTAAGAGAGCCCCTCCATGACTCCAAAAAGGAAGTTGTACTTTGCAAGACGTTTTCCCCGAAGTACGGTTATGCAAACAGAGACGGATACTAAGCTCATGGAGTGTAAGGATCGCAAAAATGTGCTGTTCCCACTGAAAGTTTTATAATGTCAGTGGGATTAAACATTGCGCTCTGCAGCTTTGTCCCCTTTAACATACACCGTGGTTTGTGTGTAACACAGGTCTCACATTTCCAAGGGAACAAAAGTGAATTCATCTGCATAGTTTTATTAAAAAGAGTCAATGTCACGGGGAACTTTCTCAAGACACACCCTTCTCACATGCAAGAAGAAAAAAAAAAAAACACATTAAACTCCTGCTAGTCATTATCTTGACATATTAGTCTATGCTTTATAGAGCACTATGTCCTATAGATGAGCGTATAGTCTTCTTTCTAGCTGCCAAGGACCAGGATAAGAGATAAATGCAACACAGGATTGGCTGAAAGCTAAAGTACAGGTTTGACATTTATATCATTGTCTTGGTACGAATACATCCCAAGTCTTAATTAATTAACTCATAAAGACTACACATTCATACATTAACAGGGTTTTGTAAATTCTAGTGAATTGACTAAAGACTTCTTAAGCAGGCAAAAGTGAGCTGTGTTAAAAACAAGACATTCGCCCGGATGTTTCTCAGCATGTCATTAAATATCTGATTTGGTTGGCGTTTTAATGGGGAAAAACTTAAGAGCCTTTTTAATCTTGTAAAGTACAACTTTACAGTGAATTATGACTGACATTTACATTCAATCTGCGTCATGCACATTTTGGGATACAAAGTCGTGTTGTAGCTACTCAGCACATTAGTCATTGACCAAATTTCTGCACCATCTGTCCCTCTGGAAAATATGATACCATACATAGCCTGTACACTTACTTTGAAAATACAAACCGGATATTGACACGGTTATGTAGCTAGCTTAGCGGTCTTTGGAGCTTCACTTCGCTTTTGGGTTATTTAATATCTATTAGCGAGCCTGCTAAGCAGTTATAATAGCGTTCAAACAACTACTCACATAATTCCGTCTTTGTCCATTCCTGCCTGTGCTTACAGCTGTGAGTTTAGTATAAAAGCAGCAGCAGCAGACAGCCTGTGCTCCAAAATGCCACGGAGCCGAGAGAAGAGAGTGGACCGTAGTCTACTTCCGGTCAACAACCAACCAATGGGAGCTTTGCTAACGAGTGTCGTCATCTCACACGCTCAAGCTCCTTGTTTATAATAAAAACGGTTTTTATTATCCGTAAAAAGTTATCATAATTATAGAATATTAAATAATTACATTTTACTTTGATCAACACATACACTGTGAACAGAAACAAAATATCTTTTTGTATTTTTCTGTGCAAAACAAACCTCTTATCTGTGATGTTACACTCGCTGACAACTCTGAATTGAATTAGTACTTAAGTGGAGACAGATTACTTGTTTAATGTGCAAACATGACATCTGTTATCATTATGGTGCATAGAGTAAACCAGGAAATGTTCCCATTAGGTTCTATTTTTAGTCATTGCCTTCATTAATTCCCATTAACAATGACAGTCTGGAGCCTATCCCAGCACACATTATGTGGAAATCACTGAGACACCACGGACAGCGTGATGACCAGTCTGTCACATATCTATTTTAATAAATGTCCAATACTGCCTTTTTTCAGAAGGAAGCTGACAGTTAACTTATTCTAACTCTTTCTGCTGTTTGGGGCAAATATACAATCGACCCAGTGGTCAAATCCACCCGGATGATGCGAGGCGAACATCAAAGATCATTGTGAGAAGGAACATGGCGTTTTATATCGCTTGTGTTATACTTTTCCTTCTTTTGTTGTCCGAAAAAAATCAATACCAACTGTGGATAAGCACTTGGCCACAAGCACACAGGCTCATCGACATCTGGAGGAAACAAAAAGCTAGGGGGGGGGAGACAGATTAATAGTCAACAAAATACTCACAACTAGTGTAACGTTGTAAAGTTTAAGAAACAAATTTAATTAAATAAAGAAGCTGATCATGTTGCTGTACAGGCTTCAAACATGATTATTTTGATACATTTTCCTTTTGTTAAGAGTACTGTAACTCACTCTTGTTCAGCAGAATTGTTTTATTTTAGGAGAGGCAGGAATGTGCTAGTAATGCTATATCAATTTAATCAGTGACTTAAAGATTTGTTGTTATTTATATATAGTTTCTACAAATGTCATCAAAGTACTAAAAAATAAATCATAGCTTAGTTTGTGTCACAGTATAGCATGTCTTAAAGTCATAACAAAAAAGTTATGATATAGTATGTCTAAAAAAAATAGTCAGTATGTTTTAAAAAGTCATTAAGAAGTCGTAATATAATATATCTTTAAAAAGTCATAAAAAATCCATACTACAGTATATCGTAAATGAGACATTACATTGGAAAGTGTCAAAAGTCACTATGTATAAAAAAGTAATAAAAAGCCATAATATAATACAGTATGTCTTAAAAAAAAGTCCTAGTATAGTATTTCTAAAAACAGTTATGAAAAAGTCATAGTAAAGTGTGTTTTAAAAAAGTTATAGTATAATGTTTCAAAAAAAGACATAAAGAAGTCATAGTATAGTATTTTCAAAAAAGTTATTAAAAAGCCATTGTATAGTAAGTCCAAACAATTACTTGTAAAGTATGTTGAACAAAAGACTGAAGTCATAGTGTAATATTTAAAAAGTCATAATAATGTGTCAAAAAAGTTACATTATTATATTATTATTTTGGGCGAACCCAGCAACGACTCAGTGACTGTTGTGTCCAACTTCTTTACAGGGTTATCAGTGATGAAAGGAGTTGTTGTTCTTGTCGTTAGCCATTAGCTGAAGCCTACCGAGGGCTGTATCACTTAAATCAATTTCCATTGAGTTTTTCTTTTGTATTTATGGTGATATAACTATTTACACATTCATGTGCCGTCACAGTAGCGCGCATACTCTGACAGCCCAGTGTATCCTGAAACAAGAGGTGGAGATGGAGACCGTAATGGAGCTTAAATCAGTATACAATCTTTAAAAGTAGCAACAGTATCTATTACAGTGAAGCTTGGAGTGATATGATTCATGTGATAGCATAAGTTGCATTTGGAATATTTTAAATAAATGCAAAAATAAAAAGAAGAAAAATCAGTAAAGAGACGCTCACTATCTATTTTTTTAGAGACATGAGGTGAGTAGACAAATTGCACATTTTTAATGTTTATTATTAATTGGAACTTAATCAAATAATAACAACATGATAACACTCATTAGTTTACATAATCATACGTCTTCCACAAAGATTGCCATTACAGTGAATCCAAAAGTGAGCTGTAGTCATGACACGGGAGATGGTCACAATCTACATTAAGTCCATTATGTCCTGACACTGGAGAAGCACTCACTAGTTGATATCTTTCATGTAAAAAAAAACAGAAACAAGAACAAAAGCAAAGGAAACTGTTCACTTATCATGTCTGTGTTACTTTTCTTTGGCAAGAACAGCTTGAAAACATCTATTGGGAGAAACACTAAATGGGTCTCTGACATTTTGAGGAGAACAATGCTCCAAAGTAGAAACTTTACATTTTTCAGAACAAGTTCAGCCTTTTGCTTTTGTCCACTCAATCCCAGCTGTCTACAGCAGGTGATGGTAAAGACGTCCCCTTTAATTCCTGGGCTGGAACAAGATCTTCACAGTCGCACATTAATTGTTATTGGTTATTGGAGGCTATTGTAGAAGCGGCACAGGCACTTAAAAGACATTGACACTGGCATACAATCTGGTACAATAGTCATGCAGTGATACAACTTGGCCACCATGACCCGTGAGGTAATAATTAACATACTGAAGAGCTGAATGAAGCGTGGTCTACATTGATCCTGCCGCTTCTGCAGCAAAAAGACCCCCAGTTTTAAACATTGAATACCCGTGCAACAGAAATAAAAGGGAACCAACTTTAGCATCAGATTGTATATGTACAGTCTTATAGAAATATACACATCTACCAATTAGTCATCTTTTCTACAGTGTCGGTTTGTCTTTAGCTATCAAGCTTGTCCACAGCTTTTGCGGGTGAAGGCAAAGCCATCCAGTTTGCATAAACACTATCATTGGCATATCTTGTAAAGACTGGATTAGTGGCATCATGTCTGTTGAGCGGTACCGGGCTCTTCTCAGGCCAGTTGGGGTATGACATGCCTAAAAACGAGAACATATCATTTTTCTGCACTCAGTGAAAGATTAACAGCGTGCAGACAGTAAGGCTCTCAAATCAAACTCTTTCGTGACGGTCTCTGAAACACGTCCTGATTTGACTCTCAGAGGTGTACAGTTATGGCTTTGTATATGTTACATGAAGTGAAATATCGTGTAATTGACTATTTATTGAGTTTTAGTGATGTATCGAGGCTGTTTATGCCCCTATTTTGACCTATGACTCCCTTGATGTTACTGTTCAGAAGTGCAGATGGACCACAAGTAGCGAGTCCAATGTGTTCTTTACTTTGAATCAATGTCACCAGAGAGTTGCGTTCAAAAGCCCTACTGTTTCTCTGTTCAGCATTGTGAAATCAGTATATATCAATGGCTAATATACATTAGAAAGTCAGAAAATGTAAGACAATCTGAAATGAAAAAAACACAGTGAGTGATTGATTCAGCAAGGACCTGTTTCAAATGTTACACACTGTTTCTTCCGATGTAAACGAATAATGGAATGACGACGATGGAAATGTGATGGAGTGAAAACGCAAACTATCTACAAATAAAATGCAGATGAAGCATGAGTATGAGCAGCGCCGTATAAATTAGAATGAAGGGTATACTCAATATTTACAAATGTAGCACTTTTGGTCAGCATTCATGTACATTAGAAGCAGGTCCAAGTAAAACAGAAAAGTCAAGACACAAGATCATTTTTTCCACTGAGCCTCTCATTTACGATGAAATGGGAGATGTGTCAGCATTAATCAGCACAAGGCATGCCCGAGATCACAGTCACGCACACTTGACTACGGAAAAGCCAATCACAACTTGCCAAAAAAGAGAGCTTGTGTTGTGTGTCCTGTTTCTAAAATCTAGTAAATGCATGGGAGATTCTACCATAGAGCTTGTTTTCAATCCATGTGGAGGGGAGGGTTCGAGGGAGAGGGGCGTTATTACAGTCCACTAGTGGTGTGTCCTCTTCAGAGAGGGCGTCGTCGTACAGCAGGGCGTCGGCTGGCGTGGACGCTGCCAGATCCAGGTAATCCTGACAAGAGCAGATTAAGGTGGGATTAGGCTGATTAGTGAGGGCCAAGGACAAAGGTCCTGTGGAAAATTGTGTAAGCGCTCTCGCGTTATGACATCAACAGGGAAGAACTAGCCTGCTGTATTCTGGGACGCCTGCATTCCCTTGTCCTTAAATCTTCTATATTTAGCCTCACTTCAACAGCCTGACTGGTGGGCTCTGTGATTATGCTGCCCAAGGCCACATTTTAGGATTGCTCTTCAAACCATAATTATGGTATCTAAAGCGTTTGGGAAGAGTGACAGATCGTACAGCAAAACAGCAGCGTAACGCAGCATGTGTGTATGTGACTCTGAACAGCAAGCCAACAGTACATGATGTCCACTAGAACTGATACACTGCTTATTTTGGGCCAGCTGCAAATCCTTAAGGAGCGGAAAGCATAAAACGTCTGACAGCCCGATCTCAATGATGCATCACCGAAGTGTTGCATCACAATTGCGCCAGTATTGCATGGAAAGAGGCTGATTAATAGCTCCCCCCCCCACCACCACTGCTTTCCTGTGGAAGAATATGAATAACTTATATTAATGCACTGTGAAGCTTCACCATACCCGACTTTTCACCATCATCTTCTCCAGTTCTTTGCTGATGTCTGAGAATGTCTGCCTCTTCTCTGCCTCCTGTTTCCAGCATCGAAGCATGAGATTATACCTGCAGAGGAAAAAGTTTTACAGCGGGTGAGAATCAGCATCATTTAATCCTCCCAACAGTCATTCTCCGTGACTGTCTTAATAATGTGGTGGAGGGGAGTTATTGCACTCAGAAGAGATGAGGAGATGCTGCAGAGTGACAGAGTGGAGCTCACATTTCCTCCGAGCAGTTCTCTGGTCTCTCCATCCTGTAACCAGTCTTGA